TAACACACGCTTGACCATGGCCCAGTGATCAACGGTCGGTGAGTGCATGAATTGACATAAGCGGTTGACAGCATAGGATAAGTCAGGACGAGTGATTGTCAGATACTGCAGTGCGCCAACTATACGACGATACTGAGTAGGATTATCAAACAGCTCGTCAGACGGGGTCACTGCTTGTGTCGTGGATGCTGGAGTTGCTAGAGGCTTGCAATCTGACATCCCTGCCCGATTCAATAAGTCATTCATATAACGCCTTTGCGATAAGATCATTCCTGCACTCGTGTGTATTGTTTCAATGCCTAGGAAGAATCCCGGTTTGCCAAGGTCCCTGATCTTAAAAGCCGTAGCCAAACGATTTAATAAGGTGTTGACCAAAGTAGGATTACTGCCCATCATGATGATGTCGTCTACGTAGACCAGGAGGTAGACACGAGATCCATCCGAGACATAGTAGAATAGAGAAACATCCGTTTTCGACGCACAGAACCCTGTAGTGAGTAAGAAATCATGCAAGCGTTTGAACCAGGCCCGAGGTGCCTGTTTCAGACCATAGAGAGACCGTTGGAGCAAACAAACGTGACCTGGATGTGCTGGATCTTCATACCCAGGTGGTTGCTTCATGTAGACTGTCTCGGCTAAGTGCCCATTTAGGAAGCATTGTGGACGTCTAGCTGCCGTAGAGTCCAGCTGTGTGTGATGGCCAGTGACAGTAGCATGCGCACCGTGGTTGGTTTAACCACCGGGCTGAAAGTGTCGAAGAAGTCTTCGCCGGCTACCTGATTGAAACCCTTGGCAACAAGGCGTGCCTTGTGCCGCTCAACCGTGCCATCAGCCGTACGCTTCGTACGGAACACCCACTTGCATCCGATTATATTCATATCCGGTGCAGGTGCAACAAGCCGCCAGGTGTTGTTATGGAGAAGAGCGTTGAACTCTTGGTCCATAGCATCCCGCCAGTGTGGGTGGCCCACAGCTTGTGAGTAACACGTTGGGTCCGTTGTTATAGTTACCAAGGCTTGAAATTCCTCATTAGTGCCCTGAGTCATGCGACGTAGCCGCATGCTGTGGTCCCTTTCCTGAGGTTGAGTCCTACCTCGGCCTCGACCCCGACCCCAACCCCGACCTCGTCCCCGAGTCGCTAGGGTAGCAGGCTCAATGGCTAGAAGCGGAGTCTCCTGGGCTAGAGGAATAGGGCTAGAGTCATGTGGCTCAACTGTAGGAACATGCGCAAACGTGATAGCGGGCACTGGAACTATCGGCCCAGAGGCCCATGGCGTGGGTTGTGGCTCATTAACCCGCGGTGTTGTACCTGCGGCAAAAGGGAAAGTTGTCTCGTCAAAGCGCACATGGCGACAGATGTAAGTTTTCCCACTCGATAGGTCCATGCATCTATACCCTCGAAAAGACGGAGGGTAGCCAAGGAAAACACAGGGAGTGGAACGAAACTCTATCTTGTGGCGATTGTACGGCCTTAGATAGGGGTAGCATAAGCACCCAAAGACTCGTAAGAATTGATAAGGTGGTAACTTTTTGTGGACACGGAAGTATGGGCTTTCAAATTGTAAAGCCGAAGACGAGAGATAATTAATTAGACACATGGCTGTTTCGAATGCGTGGTCCCAATATTGTTGCGGGACCGACCCTTGGGCCATTAGAGCCAGACCTGTTTCAACGACATGCCTGTTACGGCGCTCAACTCGTCCATTTTGTTCGTGTGTGTATGCACAGGATTGGCGATGATTAATGCCAAGGGACTGGAGGGTGGTATGTAATTTTCGGTACTCACCCCCTAAGTCCGACTGAATTGATTTGATAGAGCGCGAAAACTGCCGCTCTACCAACACGCGAAACGTTTCAAATATTTTATAAATGTCTGATTTTACCCTTAATGGATAAAACCAGCAATAACGGGAGTAATCGTCAACAAACAGAAGAAAATAGCGATAACCGCTAGACGAGAGTACTGGAGCTGGACCCCAGATATCTGTATACAATAAGTCTAGAATATTTTCGCTAGAATCACTGACCCTATCTAATTTAAATCTAGAAGACTTGCCGAGATGACAAGCAGTACAGGACCCGAAACTATTATTAATTTTGGTGACCGGAAAATGTTGAAGGATTTTATTCTGGACCAAACTGTGAGGATGCCCGAGCCTACGGTGCCAAGTCGATGGTGTAGCACGAGTAGTCACGAACGCGAACTGACTCCGAGACACTGGAAGCTTGTAAAGTCCTCCGGAGGTGTGGCCTTTAAGAAGCACCTCCTGAGTTGTGGAATCCTTCACAAAAAAATGATGATTATGAAATTCAAAAAAAACACCATTTTCGTTAGCGAATTTTTGAACTGATAATAACGGAACTGTTAATTTCGGGACGTGTAAAATATTAGATAGAGACAAGTGTTTGGATTTTGACGGGATTGATGCATGGCCCACTCGGGAGATAACTAAACCTGTACCATTTCCAACTCTGAGCGTATCCGGGCCGATGTAATCTTCAGATGAGGCCATCATGCCAGCATCTGGAGTTGCATGCGCCGTGGCACCTGTATCGGGGTACCACGCGTCCTCCGGCGGTGTGGATGTGGCCGGGGACTCTCCGGAAACCGCAACGTGTGCCTGGGCAGGAGGTTGCGTGGTGTACCGTTTGTGACAGTAGACCGCTGTGTGGCCTTGAAACCTGCAGATTTGACAACGGGGTACACCCCGATTATTGCGTCCACCACCCCGATGATTGCGGCCACCACCACGGCCTCCACGTCGTCCGCCGTCTCCGCCACCGTGGCTGCCGGAGTTCCGGCCAGAACTACCGCGACCCGCATAGAGAGCGGTGGGTGTGTTGCTGCTGCCACCACTCGGATAGTCATCCGCCAATATGAAGTCGGCGGCCTGGAGGTGATCTGCAAGGTGTGGAAGGGAGACAGGGGCGTGGGCGGTCAACGACGCAGCATATGCCTGGTACTCCGGCCGAAGCCCGCGCAGGACGTAGAGGTTCTGCTCGGACGTCGATAATGGCTGCCCAGCTTGCGCCAATGCTTCAACCAGCAACTCTGCCCGGCCAAGATACTCGCCCGGAGTCGCGCCACCTTGTCGGAGAGCCTGGAACTGGCCTAGCAAGCTCAAGCATCGGGCTTTCGTATTGGACCCCAAGGCTGCGGTAATGGACTGCCAAACGGCGGCGGCGGTAGTCCGGTCGACCGCGAGATGCAGCACTTCGTCCGACATAGAAGATATTAAAAGCGACAAGATGGATTGATCTTGAAGCCGCCACGCCCTGTACGCCGGGTTCGGAGTCGAAGCCGACGTCGCGCCACCGAAACCTGTGTCGCCGGAACCTGTGCTGGTGATCATCGCCGGCGGGCAGGGAGTCGATCCATCGACATAGCCGATTAGATCTTGGCCGGTGAGAAAAGGAACCAGTTGGGTTCTCCAGAAGAGGTAGTTACGGGAGTTCAACTTCATAGAGATGAAGTGATGGGCGCCGGCTAGGGGGTTGGGAGTCGCCGGCGACGAGCCGCCGGTGGCGGAGGGGGTACGCTCAGACGATCCGGCTGACATGGTGGGATACGGTTGGAGGGGGAAAATTTGGTGAGAGGAGGATCGAAAGGTTAGGCTGATACCAGATGGAAATTCAATTCTTTCAATTCAGTTAGAACAGAGAGAGATTACACGAGTGTATATCTCAGTACACCTCTAATCTCTCCTATCTATTAGGATACAAACTAAAGACTACTTCTAAAGCCACAAAATATAAACTATATATTATAAAACAAATAACAATAATAATAACACTACTCACACTTTGTAATAAAAAAAATGACCATTTTTATTATTTGTTTTTATTTTTGGGATAATTATATTACTTCCATTCTTCCAATCATTATACCAGGAACCATGATTCATCCTGTAAAGTGAATTATTACCATAAAATATATTATTAATATACCGATTGTATATACAAAAGATTTATTGTACATTATTTGAATACTAAAAATTCATTATTTGATATACTATCAAATAATAAACCTCCAATACACTGATAGTGGTCCACCTTAAAAGATGGACTATGACCCACAATATAATTTACTACCATAACACCGCTGCCCCTCTCACCCACTCCCACCCCAAAACACCATGTTCTTTGCTTAATTTTAATTTGTACTTGATTTATGTTGATCAAAATATAGATATGTTGGGCACTTGGGCGGATGCTTGGAAAAACGAGTCTAGCATTTTATAATTAAAATGTGATGCTAACTGATAAGAAAATAAAGTTATATCTTTACTACTGACTATAATCTTTAATATAGTGATATGATAAACCTTAATTAGATTTTAACAATTGGTATGATAGCATATCACCTATGTTTTTGAAAGCAAACCTCAAAATAACTTCATTCATAACAATTCGTAGCCAAAACATGATGAATAAAAGGCGGTGGAACATCAATATTATATTCCACCATATACTATACCAACTAGAACAAAAAATATTCATTAACGAAAACTATCTTGCATATCATTTGTCAACTCATAAAATATAAACATAATTTTATTTCTAGTTTCTTGGGACTATACTAATTGGCAAACACCTTATTAATTATTATTATAAATTTGCCACTCCGAGGCCACAATCACCATTTTTTATTATGAGATAATTATGTTGCTTCCATACTCGCAGCCGCCAACTCAACATGGTAGCTCAATTGACAAAATGAGCTCTTTTTGTAGGGAAAAATTTTGGGATAATTCAGTGACGATTCCCTTTGAGTCAATTCCTATGCCTCTGGAAACAAACAGGATGGACCTGGACCGTTAAACGGATAGAGAAAGACTCAGACCACGTTGTGGTCTACACAAAAAATAAATACTAGCCGCCGCCGCCGCCCCTGGCCTCCCCCTCTCCCACCCCAAAACACCTTGTTCTCTTTCCTTGTACATATCTTTATCTATAAATATATATCCATTTTTGAGCGAGGGAGAGAGAGAAAGAAAGAGGAAGCTAGAGAGGATCGGAGTTAGAAATGGCAGAACGAAGCGCAATTATATTGCTTTTGTTGAACACTGTGATAGCCATGGCGGCGATAGGAGTTGCCACGGTGCCTCATCAAGGCCCTAAGGAGGTGGACGAGTGGTTCCAACGCCTACCCCATGCACGCCAAAAGCTTACAAAACTCCATTTTTTCTTCCACGACACCCTCACCGGCAAGAACCCCACCGCACTCCAAATCGCCGGCGCCAACACCACCGCCGACTCGCCCACTCGCTTCGGCTTCCTCGCCATGGCCGACGACCCCCTGACGGCCGGACCCGACCCAGGCTCTCAGATCGTCGGCCGAGCTCAGGGAATGTACGGCTCCGCCTCGTTCAGCGAGATCGGGTTTCTCATGACGTTCAACTTTGTGTTTACGGCCGGGAAGTATAACGGCAGCACCCTGAGCCTCCTCGGCCGTAACCCCATCCTCCATCGGTACCGTGAAATGTCCATCGTCGGTGGCTCCGGCGTTTTCCGGTTGGCGCAGGGCGTCGCCACCGCCAAGACTTACTGGGCGAATTTCACGGCCCGTAACGCGATCGTGGAGTACCATGTTGTCGTGTTGCATTATTGACAAGTACGTGGTCGTGGTCCGATGGCAATGTCAACTTTACTTTTATATTGTTACTTGTTTCATCATGAATAATTTGTGTAATATGTTTTCAAAAATAAATAAATTGTGTAATATAATTCTAAATGCGTGTATACATTATATTAAATAATGGCGGATCATTTGCATGAAGCTTGTAGCAAGGCTTACTCAGTAAATTACTCTCCGATGGTGATTACGAGTTTTCCTCCTTACAAAAAAGTTTAGTTGTGCACTTGATGTAAATTTAGTTTTCGTTCAAAAGTAATTAGTGGAGTTTCATTGATAAATTTTACTGTGAACCATGATTCATATTACTGTGTGGATTATGCATTTAAACACATAATTCATAAAAGTAGTACGTAGTATATTTTATGCCTAGAAATAATGAATCTTATACTATCAGACAATAATTCTCTCCTTATAATTCACACAAAATACATGGCCTATTTTTATATAATAAAATGAAAAACACTTTATACCGATGCTAATTTGCTAACCCTATATTTTCATTCATCCCTTCCGCTTCTTCAGTGCGGCATTCTTTGGTCTCCGATCTCAACTGCAGCCATCTTTTGAAACTGTCTTTGACCGCTCTTTGACTAAAGGATAGGAGGTCGCCGACATTCTGGGTGAGAACGAAGAAGATGAGCTGTTAGACTTTAATTTTTATTTTTTTTTTGTTTATTATTTAATTGATGGTGAAAACTTTATTTTCCCTTCTAAAATCTAAATATACAAGGTAATGCATTAATTCCGATTGAAACGCGATGGCCGAAAAGGACTAAAAATGAAAAAAAAAAAATCAAAATCAAGCACTAATTATATCTTATGTCAGGAATGAAAGTTGTGAAGACCGTGACACTAAAGTCATAATACCAAAAGTGGAAAAAAACTCTTTATATATATATATATATATATATATATATATATATATATAGGGTTGCATTCACATGCAAACACCCTTAACATACAAACGTAAGGACAAATTTGGAGCATTAGATTAGAGCAGATGAACAGATTAGATGAAAGGATATCAAGTAATTAAAGAATATGTTTAAGAGTAACAAAGGGTAATTATGAGATTACAAAACAAATCTAATTATGGATTATATGAATCTAACTGTGATATTACGCTAGAATTGTGGAAGTATAATTACAGTAGAAATTATCTACGTGCATGTAATCGCAAAACCCTTGCATTGACGAGATTCGGTCCGAGCGGTTAGGCGAGAAGAGATGGAAGCAAATACTGTTGACATGGAGATGCCCAACCTAGGTAATGAACACAAACTGATAATCACTATTATAGTCTGGCAACTGAGTGAAATTCTATAAAGTTTGATGAATGCATACGTATGGAATTGTAATGGTGGGGGAATACTTAGGTTTTCCATGTGCGTTCTTTTCAACTTTGAATTAAAGATTAGGATATATTTAGAAGCCAAATCTGATCGAGACAGTAGGACGTTTACTAGAGGGTACAAAGTATGAATATAATATCCTTGTACACACATATGAGCGTATGTGCACACATGCGTCACTTATGGTACGTGTGTGCCCACCAGATTAAACATGTGTGTACAGTTTGGTTAGGATCAGATTAGAAGCAAAATTGTTGATATGGAGACGCCAACCCAGACAATGAACACGAATTGAGAATCGCTATTATAGGCCGGCAACTGAGTGAAATTCTATAAATTAAAGTTTGATGAATGCATACGGATTGTAATTGTAATGGTGGGGGAATACTTAGGTTTTTGATGTTGTGCGTCCTTTTGAGCTTTGAAGTAAAGATTATGATCAGTTTAGAAGCCAAATCGGAGTCAGACAATAGGCCGTTTACTGGAGGGTACAAAGTATTAATATAATATCTTTGCACACACATATGGGTGTATGTGCACACATGCGTGACTTATGGTACATGTATGCGCACCAGATTTAACATGTGTGCACGGTTTTGTTAGGATAAGTTTAGAAGTGAAATGTGATCGGGACAGTAAGACATTCACTGGAGAGTACATAGTATTAACATAAATATCTGTTCACACACATGTTGGCGTCTATGCATGCATAATGACCTAAGGACAAACCTGTGTGCACGAAGTTGGTAATTCTTTATTTTTGGAGTAATATGAATTGTAGGTGTGTGACATGACGTCCAGGAATTTAATGATTGTGTAATAACGTTGTTGTGGTTAACAGGGGAAGAGCAATTTGGAAGTGGACTACCAGAATGTGTCATGGACATATCCCCAAACATGGCAAAATATTAATTCCCTACTAGCAATGAGGAAAATACACTATATGTTGGGCAACATTTTGAAACAGTATAACAAGGGATTGAACTTTACCGGGCATATGCTACCATGGTCAGCTTTGACGTAAAAAACAACACGATGCGGAAAACTAGAGAGGGGAAGTGGGGATTAAATACATGGTATATTCACGTGAAGGTTTCAAGCCAAGTAGGAAGGATATGAACATGAACACCGAAATAGGAATTATTGAGACAATCGCAATTGTCCAGACAAAATAGCACAATCAGAAAATTAGACTGTCGTACTTTTAATAGCAATAAAGAAGACTGTTAACAAGTATTTAGAATGCGTAGAAAATAGACTCCAATTTGTTTGTTTATTCAACTGACTCATAATTTAATAAATTGAAGGCTACAGTTGCTAGTTTGGAATTTAGTCCGCAATATCGGATGTACACCAACAGGACCACGTGCACACAGAAACGTGTACTTGTGCACACAGGTACTGAAGGGTATAACTTGTGTTCACGCATGCCATATCGGATGGTTCAATTATTTTTAGAGATCTGAGCAATACGTATTGGATTATGTTGGCAAAATTGTATGAGCTTGAAATGTCATAAATTTACTAATGTATGACCTTAATCTCTCCAATGCAACATTGTATGGTGACTAAGTCGTGGTTTACAAGGGGACACACACACCTATACACGTATGTGCACTATGTGTAGGTGGTTAAAAATACACAGGTCGCAATGCACCCACCTTGTGCATATGTGCACACGGGTTTACGCGGTGACTACTAGTGTGCAACTCCCAATACCAGTTGGTGCACACGTCCAAAATGAATCCAAAGATGCGTGCAATTGCGCACTGGGTTAAATGAATACTGTGCACCTACATAATTGCAAGGTGCACACTAGTAAAACACACATGCCTCTAAAGACTAAAAATGTACTAGCAGTGCAAAATGAATATGGATGCAAATAACCTAGAACATACCCTAGGTGAAAGGAAATTCTAAGTATTTGAGGCACGAATACACTAATTTAGATAAGGGATTTCACAAAAACCAAGCAACCGGATCATACGCATAGGTTGTAGATTAACATAAACTGTCAAAAGTAATCAAAATTGTGTGCAAAAAGTACCACCGCACCAAAAATGGAAACATTACATGTCTAATCAACATCATGTGAGAACCTCGGGAAGTACGTAGTGGAAAATACATGTCTAACGAGCCAAAACCGAGGCCTGTAATATCATTCTTCTTCTGAGATGACAAGTCTCTAAGAGCCTCAACCAAAATAAAAGTCGTGTCCTAGTCTTGACTCGAGGAAACGTTGCATCCTCTTTGGCATTCAGCTCATCATCGGGGGCATTCCACACCGAGTCTTCTTGCAACCTAGCAAGGAAGGCCAAAGGTGGCAAGACAAAGTCGTCATCACTAACACAACTCTGTGAGGCACCAGGATCACAATGCGAAACATTGGACTTCTTGCCTGAAAAAAACACGACACTTACAACCAACCATGCACACAGCTAAACCACTACCCCATATCCAACGCAAACCAACTAATTTAAAAAAAAAAAAAAAAAAAAAAAAAAAAAAAAAAAAAAAAAAAAAAAAAAAAAAAAACCAATACAACACTATAGAACAAGACTGCACATATTCATACCCACCATGCACACAACGAATTCAAAACACAAGAACAATAGAGCACGACCAATAATAACAGCTTAAACATCATTGTAAATTATAAACCAAAGTACACACACTTATAGACTACCATGCTAACACCCCAAAGACATACTCAGCACAAGTGCAAACATATAACTCGAACAAAAAAAAAAAAGGAAAACAACACACTGAAAATTAGTAATATAATGCACATCCTATCACCTAACTACGCACACAACCATTCCAAAAAGGCAATGGTAATATAGTGCACACACTGTCACCCAATTACGCAAATAGTCATTCCAAAAAGGCATACGACGGAAAAAAATACATAGGCTGCAAAACCATTTTATTTGCTTAGAGCACAAGATGGCTCAAGATGTATGAAGAACTAGTGCTTCTGCTCAGCTAAATGCAAAACTTATTATTTACATTGAAAACAGAGCTTTTTAAGTTTGTCTTCATCCTCAGTTCTTTCTTTCCCATGCCTTTCCATATGATTATATCTTGTGTTGAGTTAGGCGAGCTTTATTGATATTTAGACTAATACACTGTTAAATATTTCCTCCTTTATTGTGTTTGGCCTGTGTTTTCTTTTGTTCATTTTTAGAAATTATATGATCTGTATTGTGTAGTAAGATGGAATAGAAGAAAAAAACAAACCAACAAAACCCAGCAACACCCCGGCCCTAACCCACCTAGCATACGTAAAAAATAGAAGGAAAAAAAAAATACTCACATAAGAAACAGAAATGGCCACCACTGCAAAAAATACAAAAAAATAAATAAATAATAAAAAAAAACACTAAAAGTATGAAATTAAACTCAAAAAAGAGAACATGAAGCAGCCAAAATATAACCCTAACCGTGGGCTCAAATAGGAATTTAATTTAAAAAAAAAAAAAAAAACAACCCTAAGGATACAAATTCTGGCAAAAAATCGGCACCCCATCAACACCCCACACACAAATCGACAAAGATGACGACACAAATGCATAACCCAAAGAAAAGGACCAACCCATCAAAAAACACAAGAACAAAAAAAAACGACAAATGCCAAAAGGAGGGGGGGGGGGGTGGAATTACCATGGCTCACACCACGAGCAAGTGGTCTCCGCCGCTTGCCTCTACTACGGCCCCACTGACGATCATTGCTTTGTGGAAGATGATGAGGGAGAATCAAGACCACATGATGCGAAGAAGAGAATGGCGTTCGGACGTGCACGGGATCGAGAGAGAACTACGGGCGACCTACTATTTGGTCAAAGTACCTATAAAGTCCTTGTACTATAGTGTTTTGTTCAATTTAGTTTTTGTACCTTTATTCTGTTCAATTTAGTCCATCTACTTTAAAAAGTGGTGAAATTAAGGACAATTGTCCAAATCTCATTAGGAACATGATTTTAATTATTTATTTTAGACATACTAATTTAATATATTGGTGATATTAATAACTAATTTTAAATATTTATAAAGAAATATATGAGTAAGAATATAAATATCGTCAGCGCCATGTAACCTAAGTTAGCCGTAATATTAACAACATTAACTATTGTCCTTAATTACACTATTTTTTAAAGTACAGGGACTAAATTGAACAAAATAAAAGTATAAGCACTAAATTAAACAAAACGCTATAGTACAAGGACCTCGTAGGTACTTTGACCCCTACTATTTTACCGGGCGTTAGAATTTTTTGCACTTTTAGTCCCACGACTATAGTGGCACTGGCAAAATTAATCCACGACTTTTGAACCTTGCAATTTTAGTCCACGACTATTGATTTTTTTGCAAAAATGGTCCTTCCGGCCACTTTTCCGCCAAAATTTCACCGGAAAAAAAAAATTCTCTATTTTTATCCGGGTTAAAATTGACATTTTACTTATGTCAAAAAATTAAAAGAAAAAAATTGATATTTGACTACATACAATATTACTGGGCTACATACTACTGCCCCAGGCGGCGGAGTCTACCATTATGTCTCTGAAAAATGGCACCCCTATCTAGCCGTTATTTAGTCTGCCAGTATGTCTTTTTTTTTTTTTCTTTTTCCTTTTTGACAATTCTCTCACCACTCCACTTTACCTTTGTGTTAACTCTCTCTTCTCATTTCCCCTTCCTTTCTCTATGATTGGTTAAATCAATCATAACCGTACAAATACAAAATCCAACGATGTAAATCAGTCCACACGTTTGTATTTTAAGGGTTGTTTGTATTTAAATATAATCCTCTCTCTCTCTCTCTCTCTCTCTATATATATATATATATATATATATATATATATATATATATATATATATATATATTTGCCAGTAGTCATTTGTCTCTGAAAAATGGCACCTCTATCTAGCCGTTATTTAGTCTGCCATTATGTCTTTTTTTTTTTTTTTCTTTTTCCTTTGTGACAATTCTCTCACCACTCCACTTTACCTTTGTGTTAACTCTCTCTTCTCATTTCCCCTTCCTTTCTCTATGATTGTTTAGAAGAAGCAGGGAGCAGAATGAAGCTTTTGGACGAAATGACTGTTATTAGGAATGCAAACGAATCAAATCGAGTCAAATATTTTACTATTCGATTCAAAGTGGCATAAAGAAATTAAGTAACAATTAGAATACCAATATAGATCAGTAAAGAAATTAAGTAAGAGTACGTTCATATTATTGACTAGTCTGGAAAAACAAACAAAAGAACGTACATACTAAATGTGGAATTTTGTGGAATTCAAGATTTTTGTGTATGAATGAAACAGAAAATGAAAGCATAACAAACCCTATAACCCTATAACCCTAAGCTCCTAACCTAGCGGCGTACTGCTAACTAGCTTAACAAAGGAAAATCTCACAAACAGTGACTGATAGACGAGAGACAAGTTAGACATCAAATTTCATAGATAATTGTTCTTATTTAAATATTAATTTGATGTATTTGATGTGTGCTGTAGTGTTGCTTGTGAGATTAGATAAATCAAATTATATAATGAAAATCTCAATTGTATTCTTTGCTTTGACAACAACAAGTTCAATAATTCACTAATTCAACTAATTTGACGCAAAGATGGTAATTTAAGTGCAATTCAGCAAGTACTCCTAGGCAGCACGCAATTTAGTGAATTGATGCAAAGATAACAGACTCAGTTCATGTGCTATATATTGATGTTGGGTAATAAGGTGGAAAACTCAAAAATAATAATCCTACGAAAAGATTATTATTAAATGGAAAAAAAAAAACAAAAAATTGGGAAGGAAAAAGGTGGATGATTTGGATAGTGGTTAATACGAGTTTGAACAAATCGTTCTTTTCCTTAAAATCTTATTTGCTACCTCCCACAAGTGCTAGGAGCGTTGTAGTCTAGGTTTTCCAAAATAAAACGTGCTACGGTTCAACGTTTGAGCACCCAAACTTTGAACCCGGCGAACTAGAGCAAAGCTTAGAACACAGTAGGCTAAGAGAGGAGTAGAAGCAGAGATTTTGGAGCTGGAAAACAATTGTCTATGTTCTTGTAAAAATTCTGCTGCTACTCCTAGGCAGCACACAATTTAGTGAATTGATGCAAAGATGACATACTCAGTTCATGTGCTACTAATGTTGGGTAATAAGGTGGAATACTAATGTTCGGTAATAAGGTTGAATATAATGATATGGAGTAAGATTTAAAACTCAAGAACCAAACTTCACCGAAATATCTAAACAAATAATGTAATTAAGAATGATTGGATATGGATCATTGGAAGCTTTATGGAGTGAAAATGTCACAATTACTTTTTTTGAAGAATATTTATGATGATATGAAGATAAAAATCACAAGTTTAGAGTTTGTAATGAAATTATTTGAAAGGGCACTCATTATATTTCTCAAGTATTGTGTCATTACTCTTTAGGTCGGTGAATTTTGGGTATTTTGAGGAATTCTAGACATAGAAAGCGAATGGTACTTCAATTCAAGGCCTCTAATAGTAGGGGGTGTGGGAAGAAGTTTCAAGACTATACGGACAGAATGTACTGTAAGTCGCGCATGGACAGCTCAGTTGGTTATAGGGGTAAAATTTGAAAAGAATGACTAGGGATTGAATCTCACCCGCAACAAAGATTAGAATTGGAGATTCAACCTTTTGGGAAGAATATAACTAAACATTTTTAAAAGAATTCAAAAATATAACTTAAAAAAAATTGAATAACAACTAAAACCAATACAAAATCAGCCGATCAACGGCTCATTTTTCAAAACCACGAAAAGAATTATTGGGATGGAGACGCTTTCCAGGACCGTGGTAACATAAAAAAAAATAAATAAATAAAAGAAATTGCATTTTTAAATTCCAGTGGCCACTGGCCACTTGGCCACTAGGCCAGCAGAGCTGAGGGCCTTGGGTTTGGGTTATTTGACAAAGAATATATTAGTTTCTTTCTTTAATTTAATTTCTTTCTTAATTATATTGTCAGTTTCCATAATACTATGTTAGCCAATTAAGGGAATATTCTGTATTTCTGTTCTTTTGCTGTTCCTGTTGTGAAACACTAATTTTTTTAAAAAACGCGGTGGCATTTTCGTAAATAATTGAACATCGAAGTGCAAGTAAAATGTATTACAAGTGCATGTAAAATGTATTATAGGTGCAAGTAAAAATTTATACTGAGCATCAATACTTAGTTGCACCTATAGTTCTAAGTAGTTGCACCTATAGTTCTAAGTAGTTGCACACATAGTTATAAGTAGTTGCACCTAGGTGTATGAATGTTTGCGAGTGGTTTTCAGGGGTATTACTACCCGCTGAACTCAGATCAATGAATGTTAACAAGGCAAAATTACACGCACTTATAGGTGAAAGTAGGTGCACCCATAGTTATAAATAGTTGCACAGATAGTTATAAGCACACCTAGGTGCATGAATGTTTGCGGAAAGTGAATGCTAACAAGGCAAAATTAAATGCACTTATAGGTGAAAGTAGGTGCACCTATAGTTATAAGTAGTTGCACCTATAGTTATAAATAGTTGCACCTATAGTTATAAGCACACCCAGGTGCATGAATGTTTGCGGAAAGTGAATGCTAACAAGGCAAAATTACATGCACTTATAGGTGAAAGTAGGTGCACTTGTAAGTGATTTTACTTGCACTTCGATGTTCAATTATTTACGAAAATGCCACCGCATTTTTTTTTTAAGTTATTAGATCTGGACATGTGTCGCGCGCTGATTTGTTCGCATTTCCCTCCTGAGCACTTATTCGCACCTGAGTGCATCCCTATATATATATATATATATATATATATATATATATATATATATATATATATATATATATATATTATTTTGATCACTATATTCAATATATGATAATTCAAAAGTATCATCACTTAATTTTAACTAATTTTTTAAATTTTGTTACTTAACAATATTTTAATATTGGGCATAGGTTTTCGCCCAATATTAAAATATTGTTAAGTAACAAAATTTAAAAAATTAGTTAAAATTAAGTGATGATACTTTTGAATTATCATATATTGAATATAGTGATCAAAATAATATATATATATATATATATATATATATATATATATATATATTTATATTTATATAATAATATAATAATTTACAAATAATAATAAGATAACACCCACATATATGATATATTGATATGTAACGTAACCTTGATATATATACACAAATAATATACATACATATTATTTATATACATACATATTATATATATATATATATATATATATATATATATATATATGTATATATAAATTTAATATTCATATAAATATTTAATTAAAATATAATTTATAATTAAATTAATTGTTATATGATAATTTTAATAAAATGCTAACTAAAAATAGGAAAAAGATATGATAGATGTAGGTGTATGGTAAGATTGGTGGATATATTAAATACTAACGGTGTTATAACGGTGTAAGGGTGATTTTGTCCAATACAAATCAAATGTACAACAATTAAAGCAAAATGTATATATTTATTAGCATATAAAAAAAGGACAAAAATCAAGGACATAACTTGTATTGACACTTATTATGTTTTTAGATATATATATATATATATATATATATATATATAGAGAGAGAGAGAGAGAGAGAGAGAGAGATATGTGTAAAAAAATGAC